AGCTATTAACACTAACCTACCAGTATCCACTGAAATGATTGTGGTGTAGACCACAAGATAATTTACCAATTCTTGGATTTTATCTGTGTTAATTTTGCTTATAATGCAACTAGATGTGTAAGAAACTCAACCGATTTACTATGGAATTACACGGAATTAACCAAATCACTATCTTGCTCATAGTATTCATGATTGTGAACCCATAAATACATGTAATAAATGTAGAAATTATTATTTTCATTTCTATTAGTGAAATCATTGTGTAAAAAGTGTTCTTATATAGTTTGCCTATTATAAAAGGGCAGAAGAGGAAAATATTCATAATAATTCTACTATTTTAATTATTTTATGCTCAGATGTTCAGGGTGAATTTTTTTCTGGAGCTGTGTTCCCTTTAATACTAGTCATCATTGAAAATAATGGAAATGATGGGTGGGTTGGATGCTTTTTAAGGCTGAAATATGTCTAGAAATAATTTTGTGCTTGACATGTTTTGAAGTTATGGCCTTATAGAATTGCTTGCTTGTATTAAATAAAAAATAAAAGAAAGTTCTTTCTTAGGACTATCATTGGATTTTCAGTTATGAGGCAATCTTAGCTGTACTAAGTAGTAAAAACATAACATAATGGCCACACTGAGTCAGACCAATGGTCCATCTAGCCCAGTATCCGGTCTTTTTACAGTGGCCTGTACCAGATGCTTCAGAAGGAATGAACAGAATAGGGCAATTATTGAGTGATCCATTCTATGCCCGCTTCTGGCAGTTTAGGGACACTCAAAGCTTGGGGTTTCATCCCTGACCATCTTGGTTAATAGCCATTAATGGACCCATTCTCCATGAACTTATCCTAATTCTTTTTTGAACCCAGTTATACTTTTGGCCCTCACAACCTCTCAAGGCAACAAGTTCCACAGGTTGACTGGGAGTTGTGTGAAAAAGTATTTCCTTGTGTTTGTTTTATTATTATTTTCATTGGATGACTCCTGGTTCTTGTGTTACGTGAAGGGGTAAATAACACTTCCCTATTCATTTTCTCCACACCATTCATGATTTTATAGTCCTCTGTCATATCCCCCCTTAGTTGTCTGTTTTCTAAGATGAACAGCATGATGTATTCACAGACTAGTTGCGTTCAATGGAACTATTCATGTGCTAAATGCTAAGCACATATCAAAGGGACTGATTCAAAGCCCATTTATGTCAATCAGAGCCTTTCCCCCATCCATTAAGAAGCTTTCCTATGTAAGGCCTACAGGATTTGGCCCTATATTCCTCTTTTAATTCTTCTTGCTTTGCTGCACTTAAGCATTCTGGTTGGCCTAGATCTGCTTACAATGGGGGTACAGAATTTCTTAGAAATCTCTATTAATTATTTACTGTATATTAGTTAATACCTGAAGTTATGAAGAAAAATATTGAACGTGGTAATACTCAAAATTGCTACAATCTACAGAGATCGGATCAGTCCATAACAGCTTACTTTTTTGTACCTTATTTTTGATGAAAAGAAGTTACTATATATTTTGATAAAGTAACATGGTTTCTATTAGGAATTGACAAAGATATAACAGGAACAAAAGAGTCCTTTACTCTTTTAATTTACCACTTTATTGACCAGATTGCACTTACTTGGAAACACCACAAATGGCTTGTTCATTTATAAAACACATTTTATTTAGGAGATAACTGGCTATAATAAAATAAAATGTTTTATAAATAAACAAGCCATTTGTGGTGTATATATATATATAGAGAGAGAGAGAGACTACACATAGTTTTGTGGATATTTAGAAAATGTATTACATAAATTGTATTAAAGAAAAGTCCCTTTTATTTACAGAACATCAAAAACAAAGCAAAATATGCATTAAAAGGGGGAATTCCCATATGTTCTAGTCAGCGAGATTTTTGGATTAGCAGAACTGATACTGAATTAACCAGTCTGTTTAATATTTCGATGCAGAAACTTCTCATTTTTGGTAGTTCTCCTTTCAGCTCCAGACAGTGTATTTTAACTTTCATAGCCTGTTCTCTTTGCATGTGTGGGAAACCCACAACTGATTTAGCCACACGGTTTGGAAGGGAGGGGGTATGCTATTGAGGGGAGGATCTGGGGTTGCTGATGTTAGTGTGGCTACATCAGAGGTCAACAGCTTTTCACTTCTGTTGCATGCTATCTTACAATTGTGTCAGAGTTTGGAGGCTTACTCAGAGGGGAGTTTGGCAGAAGTCCCAGTCGCTCCACATGGGCTCAGGTTTGAGATAAGTGAGAAAAACAGATAGTGCAGATCCCACACATTGGGGTTGGAGTCTGTCATAGGGTAGCTGTTCCCATGGATAGAACAAGTGAAGCTCTCCTCGACCAAAAAGAACAGGAATACTTGTGGCACCTTAGAGACTAACAAATGTATTTGAGCACAAGCTTTCGTGGGCTACAGCCCACTTCTTCG